CCAAAAATCTCTCCCAAACAGGCTATAAATGTTATATTTCTCATTCTCATTGACACAGGTATAAAATATCGAGAACTACATTTCAAATGTCAAGAATTTTATGAAAGGTAGAGAACTCTCATATTTGAAATGAAATCTCGTTCTAAATATCGATAACAATTTTTAAAATATCAACAAAAATAGTTTCTTTTGTATAGTATTTTCTCTAATATAAATATTTATGACTTTTTTTGAATAAAAAATGGTCATAAATTCGTCTAGAGTGCTCCTCAACGGTGCCTTCGGCGGAGTTTCGTATGGAAACAAATCCAAATCCAACCTGGTCGTGATTGACCATGCCACGTGGTCCCCACCTCCCTGTTCCGGATTCCAAATGGAAATTTAAATCCAGTTAATGACCAAATACAAAATTCCAAAAAGAGACTCGTCGACGGAAAACGAAACACGGTGGGCCGGTGGCGAGACGTCCGTGATGTGATGGCCCCAACACGTCACATCAAACCTACCCTTTTTCACTCAATTGCCTTTTTCCCTCCCTATATATTCCCTCCCATTTCTCTCTCCATCCACCATCTAATTTTTCATCTGTTTCTTATCTATATATATATTTATATATCATCTATATTGAAGGAAAGGGTCAATTGTTTTTACATCTTCTGTGATTTGATTTGAAGAAAGATTTTGTAAATTTAATAATTGTAATGGAAGAGTTGAACAATAAGAAGAGATTGCGAGAGGAGTCGGAGGTGATTAAATCAGAAATCGACATTCCAGAGGTCAAGAGGCTGAGGGAGGATCTACTGGAAAGTTTGGATGATGAGACGGAATTTTATCCGACGAGTCAAGATCTGGACTCGTTTATAAAGAGCTTTGAGAAAGAAATTGGATCTTCATCGAATGTGGAGGAAGTGGTGGATCTGACGTCAGATTCTGGCGAGTCTCAGCCCGAGCTTGGTTACTTGTTGGAAGCTTCTGACTACGAGCTTGGGCTTCCGCCGTCGTCTGAATCTCCGAGTGAGGTGGAGAATGATCAAAGATACGAGTTAGTCCGAGTCGAGTCTGACTCGTCTGAACTCAGTAGCGAGTTTTCTTGGCTCGATGGAGAAATACCAAGTTTTGACTCGTTCGAGTTTGGATTTGTTGATACGGAGATCTATAATGGTAACACCAACGACTATGTAGCAATGGACGGGTTGTTTGATTATTCGGATATGGGTTTCTGGTCAGATGATTTTGCATGTAGGCCCGAAACGCCGTTACCAGCACAGTTCTAGGCAAAGAATATTGTAAAGGTTTTACATTTTTTTCTTTTGGTTTAATTTTATACTTTTAAAGGAGCAGCAGCAGCAGTATAAGAGATTTTGAGATTAATGCCAAAATTTTCAATAGAAATTTTCATGTTACCCAAATTAAGTGAGAATAAATTTCTCCGCCGTTGATTATTATTAAACAAAATCTGTAAAAATTAAGAGCTTAGTTTAAGAACCTGGTTGACATCCTTAAAAAAATATTGTTTTGAATTGCATTTTTTAACAAATATTCGATATTTTATTGTATAAATGCAATTGAAGATGATTATAAGGTTCTGTTTGGGAGAGATTAAATTTTTCTACAGTAAATCAATTCTCATTTTCAACCATACATTCTTTAGGGCCTGTTTGGTACAGATTCTCCTTTTCTACAGTAAATCAATTCTCATTTTCAACCACACATTCTTCAATAAAATAATATTTTCCATCACATCAATACTTTTTTCTTCTTTTTCAACCACACATTTCCCATCAAATCACTATTCAAAAATCAA